CCCCTGGGCTGAGCACGTCTTAAAGGTGAGGAAGCGAAGGCCCCTCCCGGGCCTGTGTCCGGTGGCTCTCACGAAGTGCTGGGAGCAAGGAGCGCAGCCGGCGTGCGCCGGGCACACTTGTAGGCCTAATCTCACTCTGGGGACAGGACCGTTAACTCGTTCACAAGAGGGCACACACAACGCACCCAGGAATTGAGCACGCCCACGCCCACCGGCGTGCCCCAGCCAGCAGATTTTACCTCTCCTCCCTCTGGCTCTCACCGCGGAGCTAACAGAAATACCGCGCCGCCGACGCTATCTGCCCAGCCGTGTCCCTAGCAGCCAGGGGACCAGGGGACAGGGGACAGCACTGTGGCGCTCACAGTTCAAGGTTGACAGTTTTTTTGTCTTCACAACCAAAGCCAGTTGGCACTTTCATCACAGAGACAGAACAAAATGTGTAGCCACAACAGACTACCTGAGCTTAGGGCAGACAGAAACGTGACGGCGGCCGGTTCTCCAGCCAGTCCGTGGAGACCCCGACCCGGAGACCGCTACGAAAGCCTTTGCGGGAGCAGCCCAGAGTCGCTGCTCGCTGTGTCACTCGACACAAGGCCACATCTTATGTCTAAAGTTACCTCCAGAGTTTGGAGAAAGATGAATTTCCTCCATTCCTTATTACTGAGTGATTCTTCATAGGGTTTGCTAATGCATAATTTAAAGGATTCATATAGGTAATGCATAAATATGCTCTTAAAAAAAAATCAGACAACACAAAAGCATATAGAGTCCCCCTACCGCTTCCCAGTCTCCTTCCCACTACTACGTCTGGGTATCTCTTTCCAGCTATGTGTTTATAAACAGGTATGTGCACATAACAGATAATAGTCTTATTTAGTTTTTACAGTGTTTTTATATGTACATTTACATATACATAATAGTTTTACACATTGGTTTTTTTACTGGACGTGTAACTTTGCAATTCCTTATTTTTCAAATAACCAATGTATCTTGGCGTCCTTTTCTATTGGCCATTCTTGTGAAAGGTGCGTAGTCTCAATATCCCATAGTGTACATGAACCACGATTCAGTCAACTCTTTCCCTACGGACTAACATTTGGGTTTGTGTCCAGTTTCCTGCTGTTCTGAACAACACTGTGATGAACATCTTTTTATCCATACCTTGGTGTCCCTGCATAGGCATTGCTTTTTCCTTTTAATCTTTTTTTTTAATTTTTTTTTAAAGATTTTATTTA